GCCCCTCTTCCCCTACCTCCATGTGGTCATAGATACACAGACTAAAGCTGTGTCCATCCAGATATTTTCATATTCACAATAGTATACTCTTCAAATCCATGTGCATTGGGTTTGCTTGGCCTGGTTTTGGTAGCAGGAGGGCTACCAAAGGCACTTCTGTGGCTTCTGTGAGAAGTTGCTGGAAGCTTCCTCAGTGTCCAGCAGAGCCAAAGCCAGCTGGCTCCAAACAGACCCACCACTGGCCAAGGCTGAGCCCATCAGAAATGGAAGTGCTGCCTCAGGAATAACACATTAAAGAAGGAAAAAAAATATTGCATGGGTGTAGTTGTGGCCAGAAAAAAGCAGAGTGAGAATATGTGAGAGAAACAACTCTGCAAACACCAGTGGAGAAACAGGAGCAGGACCTGCTCCAGGCTCCAGAGTTGAGATTCCTCTGCAGCCCATGGTGAAGACCATGGTGAGGCAGCTGGGCCCCTGCAGCCCACAGAGGGCATGGAAATGCAGAGATGCACCTACAGCCCCTGGAGAAGCCAACACCAGAGCAGGTGAATGCCTCAGAGGAGGCCATGACCCTGAGGGAAAGCTGTGCTGGAGCAGAGTCCTAGCAAGGATCTGTGAAGAGAGGAGCCCATGCTGGAGCAGGTTTGCTGTAATGACTTGTGACCCTGTGAGGGTTCCTGAAGTACTGACCCCATGGAAGAGCGACCCACATTGTAGCAGTTCTTGGAAAACCATTGCCTGTGGCATATGGTTCCTAGCCTCCTTCTCATTTTGGAGAAGTTCATGAAGAACTTCTCCCATGGGAGAGACCCCATCCTAGAGCAGGAGAAGGACTCCCACTCCTCTCCTTGAGCAGCAGCAGAAACAACCTGTGATGAATTGACCATGAGCCCCATTCCTGTTTCCCTACTCTGCTAGCGGGGAGGAGGAGATAAAGCTGGGAAGGAGGGAGAGGTAAGGGGCAATTACTCAGTTTTTTGTGTTATTTTTATACTTATTTTACTTCTCATTATCCTCTTCTGATGTTGTTGGTAAGAAATCCAATTAATATGCCTTAGCTGAGTCTATTTTACCTGTGACAGTATTTGGTGAGAGGTCTCTTCCAGTCCTTAACTCATGAACCATTGTTATATTTTCTCTCCCCTGTCCACTTGTAGAGGAGAGTGATAGAGTGCCTTTGGTGGGTGCCTGGCAACCAGCCAGGGTCAACCAACTACACCATCTCTCCAATTTGGAGATAAGGATTTTGTGTGGACTGTGTTGAAAGCCTGACAGAAGTTTAGGTAGATGACACTGGCCAGTCTTCCCTTGCTGACTGTTTCAGTCACTCCATCCTTGAAGGCCACCAGATTGCTCAGACATTACTTGCCCTAAGAGAAGCATTGCTGGCTGTTTGGATCACCTCTTTGTCTGAATATGACTTACAGTTGCTTTCATGAGGACCTGTTCCTTGATCTCCTCAGGCACAGAGGTGAGGTCTGCTAGTCTGTGATTCCCTAGGTCCTTTGTATTGCCTCTTTAAAAATCTAGTCTGCTGCTGGATGCCCAAGGATTCCTGTGCATGAGGGTGGGCTATGTCCTTCCCTATCCCTCCCTTCTCAGCTCACCCTGATGGTTATTTGTTGTTGTTGTCTCCCCACGTGTGTGCATTGGGCTGCAGGCTCTGACCCCATCCTACCTAACTCTGCCTTCGGGAAAAATTTCTGGCTTGTTTTGACTTGTCCACTCTCTGAGCAGTCTGTGAGTACATAAACAATGCTGTGAGCTTGCCTGGGGCCTTGCCCTTCCCCACAAGGCTCCAGCCCTGCTGCAGCTGTCTCCTGGTGTCCTCAGCAGAGTTTACAGTAGGGTGTGTTCCTACATGTGTTCATGTGCTCTTCTGTGCATCCAGACTTGCATGAATGTACCACAGGTGCATATTTGATAGGTGTATATGAACATATGTTCTTTTGTGTCTCTCCTTACAAATAGATTGTGTTGCTCGTGGCAGGGACACTCCAGAGCTCTGTTCATGAGCTCTGCAAAGCAGCAGGAGCTCAAGTGCAGCTGAAAGGTAATGGCATCACCCTCCTAGAAATCTCTTGAAAAAGAGGCACTGTAATCAACCCATTTTCTGAGCTGTCCTTGTCCTGATCCTCCAGAGCTCATACTCCACTGATGATGGTGCCAAGTCCCAACAAGGACTACCAATTTAGATCCTTTAGTTGAGTGTAACAGGATTAGGACTGCCTCAGCATGATGGGCAGCCCCCTTCTGCCTGTCTCACTAGGTCAGGGAACAGCTGCTAGAGAGTTCAAAAGGATGGGATTTGCTTTATCCTGGAGAAAGAATAAGGAATCCTACTTACTCTCCTTGTTCAGGCTGTGTCCAAATAGATATTCTTCCTGTGAATTGTTGGTGCTTCCAGGTGTGGGACACAACCTTCCTTCATGCCAAAGCCAATGTCAAATATATTAATCCAGATCATCAGCCTGGTGCTGTGTCAAGCTGAGATCTTGGCCCAAACAGGTACTGAATTAAAGAAACACAGTGCATGTTATTATTGTGCACCAGACTGGAAGGAAAGAGACAATGTGTGTTGCACAGGGGAAGCCAATAAACAGGGTTATTGGGCAGATGGGCACCAGTGGGGGATACCCCAGCAGTTGCTCTGTGGTGCAGATGTCACAGTGTCCCCAGGTAGGAATGGTGCTTGTGCCCTAGATCTGCCTGTGGAGCAGAGAGAGAATGGGGGACTCCAAGGATGCCAGGCAGAGCAAGGAGTTGGATTGCCCCTATAGTAGCAATTACCTGGTGACAGCAGTGCAGGTCTTGTGCATGAAAAGTGTGAGGCTGGGCATCACAAGAATATTGGCCAAAGAGATGGAGGAGTTCAGATACTTTTCTCTAAATCTCCAGCAGGAAGAATGTGCGGGGAATTTTTCCTGTTGGTCCCTTCATGCTTCTGCAACACCCCTGTTTGAGCTTAACTTTGCCTTCATCAGCTTTTTCCCTATATTCAGAGAACTGTAGACACCTGAAATCTCCCAACTTTTAATCACTCACTTAAGCTAAGGTTGGAAGTCAAAAAATATATTTTGGAATATCACAGAAAAAACCAACCTATGTGTGTTAATAGTGAAACCAGATGTTCTTCACAAAAACTCAAAGATTACTGCCATGACCACATTGTGGAAAGGAAGAAGAATGTTGTACCCTAGTAGGCCCAACTCTCTCTGGCGACACTCTGTGCCATGCTGTCATCAGCCCTGTTACCCACCATCTATAAACAGTGAAAGGATGGCTAAAAAGTGGGGATTTCCAACAGGTATGCACAGGGTACAGACATTCATTAGAACTACAGCCTGCAGAATTTGGCTTACACAGTCCCCATCAACCTGATTGCCAAGAGAGATGTGTTTACTGCCCTGATACCTCTGTCATCCTGACCAACTGTTGGTCAAACAGGCAAGAGGAGACAATGTCATCAAAGGACTTCACAACCTCATTTTGTGGAAGAAAAAGACATCTCTCTGCATTCCAAACTCCCAGATGGGGAAAGGGCAATTTACACAGTCTCCATCATGGATGGATGGATGGATGGATGGATGGATGGATGGATGGATGGATGGATTCAGTTTATCCAGCCCTTCCTGACTGAGGCCTCTGATGTATTTTTGTTCAAAACAGTGCCAAACAGAACCAGACTAAGCAAGAGGGACATTTGTAAACAAAACTTGTCCACCACAGACAGTTCAAAGATACTGCTGTCCAGAATGACTTTGCACAGAGCTTTTGTGGAGCAGCGCTGGTCCTTACACAGCAGAGTCTTTGAGGCCCTGAGCCTGAGCAGAGCTGCTTCATCTTTGCTTGGCAGTGACAAGGTACAGCCGAGCAGTGAAGGGTCTGTGAGCATCCACTACTGTCCTTGGACTGCCCTGGCCCATGAGGGTTCACAGGGACTCCAGTGTGGGACCCAGAGTGGCTAATCCCAGCACTGACTTGTGAATGGTGCCAGGCCTGCGCACCTGCCAAAACATGGGCCCTGCCACGGGCCTTACATTTGGCAGTAGGGCTGCAATGAAGAACTGATCCCAGCTGCCTATGCCCATTTGTGCTGGCCATTGTCTGAGACTGGGCAGTGGAGTGAAGATGGAGATGAGGCCTTGAGTCAGCTCTGAGGCTATTCCACACAACCACACTTCTGACATCCTTTGGGAACATTTTCTGTCTACCCCAGCACAAAACTGACAAGAGGAAGAGGTGCTGCATTCCCATGATCCTGCAGGTGAGTTTGTCTCCAAGACCTCCCATGGAATTCTAGTTGCTACATGGGGACAGCAGAGGTTTTTGCAGGACGTGTTTGGGGTATATCTGGGCAGAGACACTGAAGGGAAGGGGCTGATCACCATGGGGTAGCTGGGGATGTTTTGCATCCTGGCCCAGGGCTGTACTTCCCATAGGACCCTCTGCAGTGTATCCCAACCTCATATTTTTCTGGATGAAGGATCTCACTACATTGTCACCTTATCCCCTGCCAGGATCAACACCATTCCACCCCAGCAGATTGCAAGGTCATATGTGGAGGGAAGGACTACCTGGAGACCCAGCATGAGATGCAAAAATCTTTATTGAGTTTAAAGAGGGAATCAAGGTTGTTACAAGAACAGGCCCTTAGTGCAGGGATCTGGCAGGACAAGCAAGACACTTCACCTCTTGGCCAGGGTGAAGTCCACACAGGGCATCCATTTGCCTTGCCTGTAGAGTGCAGGCTGGCTTGGAGGAGCTTTGCAGCTGCAGGGAGCAGAATGACACAAAGAAAATAGAAAAAAGGAGATATATAGGAAAGACATAGGGCATGCTTTCGAAGTGCCTGAGCTGGGCCCTTTCTTCCAGCATTTTCAGGAGGAACTAAAGATGGTCAGTTCCTCTGAAAGAAATGACCTGAAGATCCTTCCTTTGTTCAGCACCATGCCTGGAGATCCTGGGGACACTTCCCAAGACCTACATACGCCCAGCACCACTAGCAGGGGAGGCCCCTCCTTCCACCATAGCGCCTGGTGATGCAGGAGAGGTCAAAGCCCCCAGAGTTGATGGGCACTCCATCAGAGCTGAGGATGTTGCCAACAGCAGCAGAGGTAGAAGATCCCACGGCGGTGTTCTGTGGGTAGGAGCTGAGGATGGGCCCAGGCAGGGTCACCACCACAGCAGGTGGCTGAATGACAACAGTGGAGTCCTGGCACTGCCTGACACAGCACTCATTGCAGCTGTTGGCCAGCGGAGTGGGGCCACAGGGCTGGCAGGGACGGCACTGGGTATTGCAGGACATGTCTTGGGGCTGCAGGTGCACCTGGAAGAGAGAGCAGAGAGGAAACAGAGCACAAAGCTGGGTGGGTGGGTGGGTGAGGAGCAGCTTGGTTACCCCCTCACAAAAGAGCCAAGGCCATCATGAGGGGGAAGCTGGAGACTGGGCCAGGAGCCCTACAAAGAGAGCCTGACTCAGGAAGTTCTCTCCCAGGGCAGGAAGCAAGAGGCACCACCACTACCAGCCCTTCTCTATGCCAGCCTCCTCCCCACTTTCCTCTCTCATGACCAGATGCTCCAATCCCCAAATATGAGAAAGCCAAAGTCAGTTGAGATGTCCACCAAGCAGAGATCTCACTTTGGAAGAGAAAGAGAAGGGGCTTCAGACTCACCTGGTTCCCAAGCAGAAAAAGGCAAGAGAAGTGAATGAGAGAGCAGAGACTTGGGCTGCCTTTTATACCTGCTCTTCACTGCTGCAGGACCAGGGGCGGCCTTTGCAGAGGTAACAATTTCCCAGCAAGTTCATCTTGAATGCAAACCAGCACATCTAATGATATGGGCTGTGTTTTCATTTCCTGCACTGCTGCCTTTTCCAGGTTTGTTCCATACCCATTCTCCAATGAAGGCTTCTTCTGATCCCTGGGATTAAAGGCCCCAGGATTTCTAAGGCATGAATGCAGCAGTGCAGGCAGAAGACTCAGTTTATGTACTGCATGGGCCCAGACCAGGAAAGTGATACTACAGGCTGGATAACTCTGGTGGGACTGTTTGAGTTCCAGCAATCCTCAGCTGGCTGCCCAAGGACTCCTGTGCATGAGGATATATCCTATCCTTGTCTTTCTCTCCCTGTGGTCACTTCTTCCCTCCCCATGTCCATGGACTCTGCAAGTGGTTTTCGCCCCAATGTGCCTAACTCTGCTACCAGGAGAAAATTCTATCTTGTTTTAACTCATGCCCTCTTTGTCCAGCAGAGAAATTGTCATGGGTTTGTCTGGCTCCTCACAATGCTCCAACCCTGCTGCAGTTGTCCCCGGGTGTCCTCAGCAGAATCCACAGTGTGTTGTGCTCCTATAACCTTGGCTTCTGTGGGATAGAGAAGCAGGCCCATGTAATCCACATGAAGCTCAAGAAGGCCAAGTGTAAGGTCCTGAATTTGGGTTGGGTCATTCCCAAGGATGGACAAAGATTGATTAATGAGTAAACTGAGAGTAGCCCAGCCAAGTAGGACTTGAGTATACTGGTGAATGAGAGTCTGGACGTGGCCTGCAATGTTCACATGCAACCCTAGAATTGTATCCCAGAATTGTGTTGCATCAACAGAGGAGTGACTACCAGGTATAGAGAAGTGGTTCTCCCTCAATACCCTGCTCTTGTGAGACCCCAGCTGGAGTGCTGTGTCCCCAGTGCTAAGGTGCTTGAAGTAGGTCCAGAAGAGGCCACAGAAATGCTCAGAGGGCTGCAGCCCTTCTGCTATGGAGACAGGGCTGGGAGTGATGACTGTGTTTATCCTGAAGATGGTTCTGGGGATACCTTAAATCACATTCCAGTGCCCAAAGGGGATCCAAGAGAGACGAAGAGAGACTTTTTTACAAGGGCATGGAGTGATAGGACAAGGGGGAATGGCTTCCCACTGAAATAGGATAGATTCATACTAGTTACCAAGAAAAAATTCTTCCCTCTGAGGGTGGTGAGGTCCTGACACAGGTTGTCCAGAGAAGCTCTGGCTGCCCCATCCCTGGAAGTGGATGCTGTGCTGCTGTGAAACACATACTCATGTGACTTTCACAATTGTTTCTAGATCCAGGGATTTTGATGATAAAAACTGCCCAAGAAACCCAACTTGGAGCAGATCTATTGGAGGCTACACCATAAACAATCCAAAAAAGCCTTGTCAATATTCTCTGCTTAAAATAACACTGCAATTCTCAGAGCAAGTACCCTACTGACTCTTCTTCCTGCTTCATCTCCATGGGCCTCCACTGATGGCCACAGCTGGAGAACGAGGCCTTTGGTAGGAAGCACAATTGCTCTTATGATTTGGACACTGTGACACAGAAGCCCAAGATGGGAAGGGATCTTCCTTACCCTGCATCAGCAAGTGGAAAACAGCCACCAGCCAGACTCTGGACAAGATTATTCCTGCACTCATCCATTGCCAGAGAGTGGTCCCACTCTTTTTCATGTCTCTCCTTTTCAGGGAAATCACCAGTGCTGGAGGGAGCTCCCATGTTCTGAGGTCCATGCCAGTTTCTCTGTCCAACAGCTGCTAACATCTCAGTGACCTCCTTTCCTCCCATGAGCTAAAGGAAGGGTTCTGGGGACCTATTTTCAGGCAACCCCACTACAGCATTTCTTATGGAAATTCAGCTCAAGGGTGCTGAGTTTCCAGATGGATCTCACCCTTTCAATTGGAATCTGTTGCCCATGAAGTATCATCCCCTTTGCACGAGAAATCTCAGGATACTCATTTGTTTTTCTACTGCTGTTCTATCATAGTCTGCCTCTCCCAAGTGACAAGGGTCTGCTCTGACAATCCTTGTGTGTGGCTTTGCATGCCACTGTTTATCTCAGAGGGCTCTAAGCAGTGTTGATGAGGAATTCACAGCAGATCTCAGACACTCTGCTGTGTCTTGGATTTCTTAGACATTTCAGATACTGCTTTTTGTTGCTTTCCAGGACTGTAGAAGGATTCAACACTCCAAATATACAATTATTTTCAAAATGTTGTATTCCTAGGCAGAAATGGCAAGCAGTGTTGTCTGTCTGCGGATAAATCCAGTCTCAGACTCTCTGCTGTCCCAGGCATTTTCCCAATTGCCACTGAAAAAGAGCACAGCTGACAAAGGTGGATTGGTGGGAATCAGCCTGTGCCTTGGGCAGTGGTGCCTGGGCCTGGGATACAGGACTAAGTGCCAAGTGCCCAGGTGGATTCAGGTTTGTGAATCTCCTCCAGAAGTGCCATTGCTTCTGGAAGGAAGGAGTAGATGTTCAGTTCAGACTCAATCATCTCAACTGGAGAGCTCTATGTTCAGATGAAATTAATCCCACACTCTCCATAAAGGTTTGTTTACCATGATGAGAAGCTGATGCCGCATTATGAAGTGATTACCTGGACTATCTTCACTGTCAGTGTGCAAAAAGAAAAGCTTGGAGAACATGGTTAATCTGTTCTGAAATGAAAATTAGGAGGGTAAAGGCAAGTGCTGTTTGGAAGTGCTAATATTCTCCCAATGAGTGTAAAGAGAGACTTGCTTCCCAGCCAGCCTTCCACAGCTCTGCACTTAAAGTGCTTTGCCCATCACATTAATGTTTTTCCACAACAAAGCCCAAAATGGGTGGAACAATGTACTGCTAAAAATTATGTGGGGTTTTAGATGTGGAAATGCCCTGACACATCTAGTATGAAGCACACCATTTTGCATAATTTTAATTAAAAATAAGAGAGTAGATTCAGACACTAAGGAGAGGAAAGAAGAGGAATTATGCAAATTTTGTTTGCAGTCTTATGCAAGGAATAATGGCTATAAGTAGAGGTATCAGACATTGCCAATTTTATCTCGAATCAGAGTATGATTTGATGAAATAGCTACAAGAATGTGGCGTAGATACATCACAAAACATCAGGCTAAATGGAGAACACATGTGTACTTCCTAAAGCAATGTTTCCTAAAGTTACTGGGATTTCTTTAGGAGATTCAGACAAACCCTTACAAAATTAAGCACTTGGCAAACTGGGGTAGAAACCTGTGGGAATACCACTCCTTCTGTTACAGAAATATTTATGGACGGGCTTGTGACCCTTTCCAAGAACGGCATTTTAAAGGACTGTTAGGCATTCTGAATTAACTGGGAATGAACAGAGAGTGATGGGAGGGCAGAACTGAGGCTCAGCCTAGCCAGAGATGGCTGTAAGGTGATAGGAGCTCATTGGGGAATTGGTGGCTTCTCACTGCCTGGGATGCCCACACAGACCTACACTTCAGAGGGGATCTTCTGCAGGGAAGAAGTTATGGGAGGACAGGGACTAATCTGTTTGTACAACTGATGAAAAGTGAAAAATCACTTTTCCTGGAAAGCCCGTCCCAGGGCGAGCTTCACGTCTTTGTTTCTGAGCGTGTAAATGAAGGGGTTCAACAAAGGAGTTACCACTGTGTTAAAGGTATTCACAATTTTGTTCAGATCCAGAGACTTCTGGGGTGATGGCTTGACATACAGGAACATGGTGGAGCCATACCAGATCATGACAACACTGAGATGGGCAGAGCAGGTGGAAAAGGCCTTTTTCCGGCCATGGGCTGACTGGATCCGCAGGATGGAAGAGATGATGTACATGTAGGAGACCAGCGTGACCACACAGGAGGCCACCACAACAATTATGGAGACAAGGAAGGTTGCCAGCTCCACAGGCCATGTATCACTGCAGGAGAGGGCAAGGCAGGCATCTATATCACATAGAAAATGATTGATGACATCTGGCCCACAGAAAGTCAGCCTGGATGTCAGAAAGGCCAGCAGGGAAATGGCCAAAAAACCTCCCAGCCAGGAGCTGAGTGTCAGGCGAACACAGAGGGCACTGCTCATGAGGGAGCTGTACCTCAGGGGGTAGCATATGGCTAAGTAGCGGTCATAGGCCATGACAGACAGGAGAAAACACTCAGTGGAGCCTAGAGATAAAAGAAAGAACAACTGGAGGATGCAGACACTGAAGGAGATGGTCTGGCTAGTCCCCAGCATGACTCCTATGGCTTTGGGAATAACACCTGTGGTGTACCAGATCTCCAGAAAGGAGAGGTTACAGAGGAAAAAGTACATTGGGGTCTGTAGGTTGCTGCTGCTCCACACAAGGGCTATGATGGATGCATTACTTATTATTGTCAGGGTGTACATCAGTGCAAACACCACCACAAAGGAGACTCGGAATTGCCATATGCCTGGGAAGCCAAGAAGGATGAATTCTTTTACACTTGTCCCATTTGCCATGTACTTCCAAGAGTTGTGGTCCGTCTGCAAAGAAAGAAAAGTTTCTGTCAAAGTTTGCATGCTTTTGCTGGTCCTTCAGATGCTACAAGTAGTGAAAAAAAAATAGTCAACATTCCTGAAAAAGCAGTTGGTGCACAGCATGGGAAAATGGCACTTTTACTATGTTTAAATTTTCATAGAAATCTTTCCCTGATGAAACACATTTGAACAACTAGATCTAACCCTGAAAATCAGGTGTATCCCAAAAAATGAACACTTGGGGAAGTATCTATCAGATCATGCACCTCCTTTACAGCATGGGGAATGTAGTCACTTCTGTGAGACGAAAATCCCACTTAGGAAACTATGGGCACCAGACTGAGGGACTCCAGCTATGGGAAAAGCTCTTACAAGGCAATAATATAACCTATAGTCTCCAAGGCAGGCAATACTGAGGTGTGGTACATCAAATGCAACTGAGGAATACAAATACTGTCATGAAAACGTGACACTGCAAGAAATTTTTCTCACTTCTTCTATGTCAGTTTATTACAAGGGATTGAGACTGAGCTGCAGCCACACAGGGTAGCAGGTTAATATGCCAGTCACTGCTCAAGGTCTCCTATACTTGCTTTCTTCCAAGCCTCAGAACTGGAAGCTTTTGCAAATACCTCCATTTCTCTCACTGATGTGTACTCAGCATAGCTCCTAGGGCTATGATTCACCTCTTTGCAATTTTGCCATTTCAGAGTCAGGGGAAGCATTTCTGCTGACCAAGCTGAAATATCCATGGTGAAATACTCCTATCTCAGCTCCTCAGCTTACCCCCTTCTTTCTTCATAGGCAGAGAAAAAACATGAGGGATATATGGCTCATTTTGTTTTAAAAGCATGGCTGAAAGCCCTCTAGAAGTGCCAGGTTGTCGCTGAGGTCTAAGGCAGGAGTCTTGTGAACACCTAGATGTCAGATATCTCAACTTGGACAGAGATACTCAGCCTCAGTGACTGCAGGCAAAATCCTCTGAGTTGAATGCCATTAAAGGTAGCTCTGCTGAACTGTTCCTGCAGACAAGGGAGGATTCTTGATCAGTTCTCTAGAGAGAACATATTTTCAGGTGAATGTGGACGACAGATGAACTAAATCACCATCTGAATCATCTCTTTCTCTCCTATCTTTCTCCACAGCAACATATATCAGAAATCTCATGTACTTAAAGAGTAAAGAAATCTCCCTTAAACAAGCTCTCCTTAGGGTTAAGCTCTCCTTAAGCTCTCCTTAAACATGCAAGGCATTGGAAATCTGCGCTATATGTTTTAGGCAGGCTTCACTCACCAGATTTTCCAGTGGAAATGATCCAAATGACATTTTTTCATGCACCGTCCTCCCAAGATAGCCAGGGTCCCCTTGGCTCATGGAGAGCATTGGAAAGAAGTAGATTTATTGGGGGGGAACTCTGGAGTCAGGTGAAGGTGTGTGGATGAGCAGCTCTCCCCTGCTGACTCACTTCAAGCTGATGGCAACTGCTTGACCTGGTTTCCTCTCCATCCAGTAGGATCTGACAACTTCCACTCCTGATCTTCTCCCTCTCACTGACACCATGTAATTCCACTAAAAGGAGCTTTGTGTGCACACACACAAAGCGTAAACTCTCTTCAGTTTAGCTTCATATAGTGAGCTCATACACCAGAGAGTCGCCAGCATTATTAGCATAAGAACATCCCCACACCCACCTCATTAACACAATGAAGCTCCAGCTGGCCACACCTAGGAGACTATTTTCTGTTTTCCCTCTGGTGTGCTGCAGGGAATTTGACCTCTGGGAGGCCTTATGGGCTTCTCAGAGATGAATAGTACTCTCTCTTCACACAGGCCAATTAAAGAACAGCAATACAATTCCCTAAGTGGCTGCTAGGCTGGGTGTTTGCCTCCTACCTGCAGCTGTGGTATGAGAGCCTTGTCAGGAACTCAGCTGACATGGAGATGTCTGAAATAATCATGTTCCAAGACACTGGGGTCAAGCATTTGGTGCTGAGAGGGTGGTGAAACCTCCAGGGTGAGAAGTAACTAAAAGCAGCTATGGGCACCTGAATACAGACTGTAAGGTAAGGGGCTCACCTACCTCATTTCAGAGCATTTAAAACCTCTGTCTGCAGCTTCAACTGAAATGAAAAACTAAGTAACAATCTAAGTTCAAAATCGGACAAGACATTAGTAAATGGAAAATTTATTTCCCCTGACTCCAGAAAAGATGTCTTCTGTTGAGGTACTCATCTTTGCTCCATTCATCATCAGCTGAGAGAAACAGGCACTCTCAAGCCTTAGTTCTACTCTTAGAAAAAATGGTCTCTTACAGATCAGGCAATACAGGCCTTACAGACCTTTTTCTTCTGTTGGCACTCAAAATAAACTAGTCAGCTGTCTTAGACCACACACACACAAAAATACACACACTTCTTGTCCTCTAGACATCTTGAGTTAGATTCACCTCAAGAGAGAGTCTGTCTGTACTGTTCAGGACCACCACACAGGTGCTGGACTTGGCAGAGACATTTTCTGTAAGTCCTGTGTCCCAGGCTTCTGTGTGGTTGAGAGAAAACTGACCAGTACTTGTTTTGGGGTGGAGATACAGCTAATGGGAGTAAGTTTTCAGTTTGAGCCTATTTGCTGACCATGATGGCTGCTGTCTGTCCTATCCATGGAAATGGATGTGGGGTTTAGCCATGTGGTGGAGGTGTTGGAGCCTGTGAGTTCACTTGTGATTGCTTAAAGAAGCAAGCCATGAACACATGACCAGGTATGCAGACCCTGCTCCGAGCTTGTCCTAGCTGGGGAGTTCAGAGGCCACCACTGGTCAGCTGCAGGATTTGTGTCTCCAGAAAGATGATTCTTGCCATTTCCTGGAACATCTGTTTTGGGATGGAGTAAGTCCCCTGGGTGACCTGCTGGCCCATCAGTGACTGTGGGAAGAGTCTACAGAGACTGTTAGGTCTGGTCCCGAAGATGGGTTGTACTCTCCATCCTCAGGACATGCTCTGAGACCAAGGAGTCGTATCTGAGCAGAAATGTTGGAAGGCTAAGCCTGATCTCTGCTGTCTCTGGAAAAGTCAGGGATGTCTTCCTCAGCTCTAAGGGACAGTGCTTGAATGGGCCCCACTTCTGTATTTCCCACCCTCCCCTTCCTCTGGGAATAATCAATGGTCTACTTGTGCCCCCACCTTTTCCTCCACCAACCATGGCAACATCTTTTGGTCTCAGCACCTTGAGACAAGGATACCAAAAAATATTACACAGAGGCTGAGGATGAGATGCAGAAAGCTTTATTGTCATTGAAGTGGGAAATTAGTTCCTCTGTAGAGGAGGAAACTGGTGGTGGTGGTGAGAGACCACATGCAACTGCAGAAAGTCTGTGCCCACTTTGGCACAGGCACTGGAGAGCCACTGGAGAACCAATGGGACATCCATCTGCCTGCCCTACAGTGGACAGGGGTTAGCAGATCCCCCAGAGAGGCTCTGAAAATCTTACAGTCCAGAAGTATGGAAGACAAGAGAGAGGTGGAAGAGACAGTAAGGCAGGGAAAGCAAACACTGGCCATGGTTTCAGAGAGCCCCACCTGCCCTTCTTCAGAAGGGCAGCATTGGTTGCTCAGCACCTCTGAATTCGATGGCCAGGAGCTCTGTCCTCAGTCCAGCATCAGCTTCTGGATTCCTGGGGGTCCTTGTGAAGGCTGCACCAGTGGCTTTAGCATGGACGACATCTGCTGCCACCGTAGCGGTTGGTGATGGATGAGAGGTCAAAGCCACCAGAGTTGATGGGCACTCCCTCAGAACTGAGGATGTTGCCAACAGCAGCAGAGGTGGAGGATCCCACCACGGTGTTCTGTGGGAAGGAGCTGAGGATGGGCCCGGGCAGGGTCACCACCACGGGCGAAGGCTGGATGAACACGGTGGAGTCCTGGCACTGCCTGACACAGCACTCATTGCAGCTGTTGGCCAGCGGGGTGGGGCCACAGGGCTGGCAGGGCCGGCACTGGGTGTTGCAGGACATGTCTTGAGGCTGGAGATGTACCTGAGAGAGAGGGAAGGGAAGGAAAGGAGGCACATTTGGGGAGCCATCAGCCATGAGTCCATCATCCCACTGCAAGAACTGCAATGGTACCTGCTCAAGTCAGAAGAGAGAAACTGGGCAGTGAAAGAAAGGGGTTTTCATCCTCATCCTGACACAGTACTGCAAAGTGTCACCTTATTTCTTCATTAAAGAGCTCCCTAAGCCAAATTCTGACACGAAGTCAGACCTTAGTTCTTCTCTGATCCCTCAGCAGCAGCATCACTAAGGATGCTCTCACAGGCTATAGGAACACACATCTTCTTCACCGGAAAAGGATAGGGGAAAGGGCTTTAGACTCACCTGGGTTCCAAGGAGAAGGAGGCAAGAGAAGTGGATGAGAGAGCATGAAGTTGGGCTGGCTTTTATAGTCACTCTGTGTTGCCCCAGGCCCAGAGGTGGCTTCTATGAAAGTGATCATTTCCTAAGGTGCTCATGATGTATGGAAAACATCCCAGATAATAACATGGTCTGGGTGCTTGTTTTCCATGCTGCCACCTTTTCATTTCCTGGCTTATGTCATAGACATTTCTTCATGGAGGCTTTTTCTGAGTGCTGAGATTGAGACGCCTCAGGATTTCCAGGGCAGGAATGTGTCAGTGTCTGCGGAATCCTTTGCTCAAGTGCTGGATGGGTACAGTGCAGGGAAATGAGGTTGGCCTGGAGCTCACTGGTGGTGTTGCCTGTGGCCTTGTTGACTGGAAGAGGTGCAGCTGCTCCCAGCTCTTCAACTCTTGACTGGTCACCCAAAGATGTGCCATGATACCACTGGAAAATTATATGCCGTGGCTCTTTCCTTCATGCCTCCCAACTTGCTCCAGGTTTCATTTGAGTTCAGAATCTCAGGCATTTGGGCTGCACTGTTGGGTTTCATTTTCTTGCTCCTAAAGATTTCCTTATGTCCTTCCACTAGCTCCAAAGAGGGAGAATCCTCAATTCATCTGGGTAATGTGAGCCAGTGCTTGGTCACCCTCAACATTAAGAAGGGCTTTCCTGTTTCACACAGAACTTCCAGTGTTCCAGCCTGTGCTTGTTTCCTGTGGTCCCATCACTGGGCACCTCAGAGAAGTGCCTGGCTCTCTTTACCTTGCACCCTCTGGATTTGGGTTGCATGGCAAGGTTTTGGTTGTGGGGGAGCCAACACCAGATGGATTTAAGACTGATCCGCCACTGACCAAGGCTGAGCTCATCAGCAGTAGTGGAAACACCTCTGGGATAACATGTTTAGGAAGGGAGAAAACACCTAGTGTGGAACAGCAGCTAGAAGAGAGGTGAGAGAAGATGTGAGAGAAACAACCTGCAGACACCAGTCTCAGTGAAGAGGGGAGGCAGGTGCTCCAGGTGACCCCGTAAAAGCTCACGCTGAATGAGGCTCCTGTCAGGACCTGTGCTCTGTGAGTGACAGGCCCATGCTAGCACAAGTTTGCAGGCAGGATGTGTGAAGAATTGTAGCCCATGTGAAAAACTCACATTGGAGAAGTTTATGGGGTACTGTCTCCCATGGGAGACAGCCTCTGCTGGCACAAGGGAAGCGTGTCAGAGTTCCTTCCCCTAAGGACAAAAGAGCTGCAGAGATGTGTTGAACTGATCACAACTCCAAATCCCTGTCCCTTTGGAGAGGAGAAAATAAGGAGTGAAGATGAGCTGACGAAGAAGGGAGCAGTGGGGGGGAAGGAGGTTTTAGATTTTAGGTTCATTCCTCATTACCATATGCTGACTGGATTAAAATAAATCAATTTCCCCAATCTGAGTTGGGTTTTCCCATGAGGGTAATTGATGAGTGATCTTTCCTGTCCTCATCTAGACCCAGAAGCCTCTTGTGTTTTCTCTCCCCTGTCATCTGAGGAGAGGGAGTGATGGGACAGCTTTGGTGGGCATCTGGCATCCAGCCAGCATCAAAGCACCATAGCCTCCTTTCAGGTGTTTATATATGTTAGTAAAATTCATCTAATCCTTTTCTCTGTAATGAAGAGTCCCAGCTCTCCCAGCCTTTCCTTATAAGAGAGATGCTCCTGTGATTTAATTCATCCTCTTTTTGTCTCTTCATTTAATTCGTTCCAGCACTTGCATAGCTCCCTTGTACTGGGGAGTCTAGAAAAGGAACCAGTACACCAGGAGCACCCTTACTGGTGTTGGATAGAGAGAAACAGTCTTCTTCCTGGACCTTCTGGTAGCACTCCTTCCACTGCAGCCCAGAACACTTTTGGCTCTCTTTGAGGCAAGGGCCTATTGCTGGCTCATCATCAACTCAGTGTCCAGCAGGACATCCCAGATCTTCTGCAAAAGGGCTTTACAGCTGAGGGGTGCCCAACATGTACTGATGCACAGGGCTGCACCTCCCCACATGCAGGACTTTGCCCTTCCCCATGCTGAACTGCAGGAGGTTCCTGTCAGGCCATTTCTTCAGCCTGTCAATGTTCCTCTGAAAGGCAGCATCCACAGTATTGTAAGAATGAGCAGGTGCTCCTGGGTAAACAAGGGCAGCACAAATCTATTTCTTCTTGGGAGAACAATGAAAATTTTTTATACAAGTAAGATGACATTAAACGGTCCAGTCTGCTTGATTTAGTCCACTGTGCTTTTCAGTCTCGTGGCCTATTGAGCCAAAAAGAACACCAAGAGAATCAAGTGTTATTATGGAAACCCATGATGATTGTCACATCTTCTGTCATGGGACAACAACCAGCTTTTCTGGAAGCAACTGAAAGTGACTGATGATGGCTGAGAAGTGTAACATACAGCACCTAATAAAAGAAAAATCCCTAAACACAGTAGTTTACCCTGTAATGTGTCCTGGTGAGACTAAGATGTTCATAGAATCAAGAAGTCATAGGTTGGTTTAGGTTAGAAGGGACATTTAAAAGGTCATCCAATCCAACCCTTTTAACTATAAGATGTGTGGAGTGGGAAAGGAAGTTGTTTTTTAAAAAAGTAAAACTTTTTTCTTTTTAATGTGCAATTAAAAAAACACAATGGAGTGGGGTGAAGCAGCCTGACCAGGTCTGATCTGAAAGATCACACACTTCCACGCTTGGGTTATAAGTTTTATTTAAAGAATACATTAGGGAAAATTGCTACAAGAGATGCTCGTCTGAATCTTCTGAAACATATTTTGGGTAGCTGGTCATGGGAAAGATCCACCTTCATATTTTTCAAAAATCATCATCCAATAATTTTTAATCTGGATTGCTAGAATGATGTTTGCAAATCTGTTCAAAAAGAAAACCCTTTTTGCAGTGGCGCAGGGCAAAGACACAGTCATACCCACAGGCCATGGAGGAGGGACACCATCCTCTGGGAAGCAATATACATAGAAATGTGCTTTAAAAGGCCATGACTCTTCAGGAAAGGGATCACTGTTTGGAGGGAAGCCATAGGAGTCAAAACCTTGCAGAGAAAAAGTGCAAGAAAAGTGCTGGCTGGTGCTCTCCAGGCTGTGGATGTGTATTCACCACCAGTCCTGAGGAAACGTGGGCCTTTGGGAGCCAGTTGTTGAGGGAAGCACCTCTACTGAGAAAATGGAAGAGATCTTGTCCATCTCAGACCTCTATCTTAGAAGAAAATACTGCCCCTGAAGTGTCTGTCAATTATTGCCCTAATCTGTTCTACAAGATGTGCAGGAGGTCCCAGGAGGGCCAGATCTGGGCAGGAGTGCCAGGGCCAGAGCTGGTGCTGGGGCTCAGGGCAAGGCAAGACTCAAGAGAGGTCCATGTACAGGATCCATCCTGGGACTGCTGTGGGTGGTGAAGGGGCCTGGCCAGGTCAGGAGAACAAGAGTAGCTCAGGTCAGATGCAGGAACTGAGAGGGCAGAGCTGGGACAGGCCTGGGCTGTCACAGAGCCCCTGGCAGGGACTGAAGTGGAGCTGAGGCCATGGCTGAATTGGGTCTAGGTGGTCTTGGTCCTGGTGCTCCCTGTCCTGGGGTTACCTGCTGACTCTGCTCTGACTCCCACAGACTATCTGGGGGAGAAGTGCACTTGTGGCTGGCTTGTGACGCCAGTGAGGCCATAGAGTTCTTGGGCCTCAGGAAAGCTTCTCTGTCCTGGGGCAAGACAGGGCAGAACAAATCCCTGTTGTGTGTTTGGCCACCGCTCCCTGTCCCGGGGCTGGCTTCACCTGCTGCGTGCTGGCTTCAAAGGGAGGGGGGACTCCAGCGTGGGGCCTGCCGCAGCTGATGCCACTGCTGCCCTGGGAACACCCCAGCCCCACAAGGAACACCAGATGAGCCAGGCCAGAGGCTGTGCTGCAGGCGGAGAGGGCGGCATGGGGAATTTGTCTCTGCTGCCCGTGACCAGGCACGCTGACCATGGCCCATGGATCAGGGGATGGAGGAGAGAAGTAGTGGAGTAGGGAATGTAGACCATTCCAAGGCTATTAACCCATTTCCAATTCCTGCCATTCTTTCGCTTGTGAGCATTCTTGCCCTGCACAGCTTCACACAAAGCAAGAGAAGCATTCTTCCCTGAGAACTTGTGGAAATGCTGACCTCCTCAGGGCTTCCCACATGTCTACAGTTCTCTTCTAGAGAACAGCAGTTTTCAGGAGTCCTGATTGTATGATGTACTTCAGTCCAAGTAGTATTTCTGAGAGGAGACACAGCCAGGCAAGGACTGGCAGTGGAATAACTAGGGATGTCTTCCTTCATGGATGAAAGACTGGCTATGAGTTGAAAATGTGCTCTTGCAGCCCAAGAAGCCAACTCTTTCCTGATTCTACCCCTCTACATTGAGACCCCATCTCGAATACTGCCTCCAGCTCCGTAGTCCTCAGCAGAAGGAGGACATGGATCTTTTGAAACAAGCCCAGAGGAGGCCACAAAAATGATCTGAGGGTAGGAGCACTTCTCTTGTGAGGACAGGCTGAGACAATTGGGCTCATTCAGTCTGGAGAAGACAAGGCTTTGAGGAGACTTTGTTGCAGTCTTTCAGCATGTAAAGGAGGCTTAAAAGAAATACCTTAGCAGATTTTATTTTGTGACAGGGCAAGGGAAACAGTTTTAAACTAGAAGAGGGTAGATTCAGACTAACGATGAAGAATTTTTTTACAAAGAGGGTGGTAATACAGAGGAATATGTTGCCCAGAGAAATTATAGATCCCTATACATGTTCTAGGTCAGGTTGTGTGGGGCTTTGAATAACCTAGTGGAAGGTGTCACTACTCATTGTAGGGAGATTAGAGTAGGAGAAATTTAAAAGATCTTTCCAACCCAAAGTTCTGTGAAATTCTATGCTGCCTCAATGTGTGGAAGCAGTGCTGGAAAGAAGAATCATTACAATTTGTCCAACCCCCCAGTGCCACTAAGAATGATGAAGGGTTCCTCTGGGCCCCTCAACTAATGGCTTTTCTGCTCAGCACTCAGTGTACACATGAAAGACAGCTAAAAGACACAGGAAAGGTTGCATCAAGTTTTTAATGTTGTCCTGGCTTGTAAGATAAGCATGTATTCTATTGCCATCTGTTGGAGGTTGGGCAGTTTTCTTATCTCTTCCAAGAACAATGTCTCCCTCCAGGGAGATATCTTCTGTTAATAGACCATTCAATGACTCACTGCATGACCAGTAAAGTGACATCATCCCATTGTGAGATGCTCCACCCAGAGGGAGGAGCCAAGCATTCCTACCTGCATAAAATCAGCACTTTTGGAGACACTGGTAGCCACTTCTCTGGATTCCCAGAGGAGCAGCTTCTCTGCTGAATTCCCAGAGGAAGACCAGGCCCAACTACTACCAGACCTTCAGAGAAAACGACACCCTTCTAGAGATCACCACTTCAGCAGCATTTCATCTGCCACTCCAGGAGGAGCAGACACCATTTAACTGGACTATTCCCAACACCCTGACTCCTCAGGATGTCAGGTTTCTGACTCCCTCACTAGTTTAGTTTGTACTAATTACATTTGGTTTTGTTATTATTATTATTTAGTTTTTTTCCTAGTAAAGAACTGTTATTACCATTCAAATATCTTTGCCTGAGAGCCTTTTGTTAAATTGTGGTAATTTGGAGGGAGGGGGTTTACATTTTCCATTTCACAGGAGGCTTTTGCCTTCCTTCACAGACTCCTGTCTTTTCAAACCTAGACAAATGTACACAAAGGTGAGAATTAATTAATTCTAAGTAGAGGCTCCAGGTATGAAGAGGAGCAGAAACAGCCAAGAATCTCTATCCTTTTCCTGTAGCAGAGTTCCCAAAGGGAAACTTTTTACTTGCCCAACAACAGGACACAGTCCAGTATGCCCCTGCATGCTGGTTTCTGGGGTTCTCACAGCTGGTTTTGATTGAAGCAGTAGAGAACAAAGGCAAGAGTGAGAAAGTGTGAGAGTGAAAGAAAGGAGAGGAAGGCACTGCTAAGTTTTCAGAGAGCCCAGTATCCCCTTCCTCAGGCTGATCCATTCAAGTTTGCTGTGGCAAGGCAAATTAGTGATAATCAGCTACTCTTAAAACAATGACACAAAGGTTTGATCCTCTGTCCAGCTTCGTGTTCTGAGTTGCTGGGGGTCCTTATCTGAGGCCATTGACAGCAGCTTTAGTAGGGACAACATCTGCTGCCACCATAGCAGTTGGTGATGCAGGAGATGTCAAAGCCCCCAGCGCTGATGGGCACTCCCTGAGAGCTGAGGATGCTGCCAACAGCAGCTGAGGTGGAGGATCCCATGGCGGTGTTCTGTGGGGAGGAGCTGAGGATGGGGCCGGGCAGGGTCACCAGCACAGGAAAGGACTGGATGAACACAGTGGAGTCCTGGCACTGCCTGACACAGGGCTCATTGCAGCTGTTGGCCAGTGGGGTGGGGCCGCAGGGCTGGCAGAGCCAGCAAGGTTGGCACTTCTCTATGCAGGACATGTCTTGGGGCATGAGAGGCACCTGGAAAGAGGTCAGGGAAGATACACAATATAAGGATACATGAAGAGCAGCCTGTCACCACATCAGGAGTTAAATAACATGCAGGGCCACGAGGTGGAGGTTCTGCAGAAATGTGAGGGCTCATTGGCCTCATCCTGCCAGGGCCTAAAAAAGGCCACAAGCTCCTATGCAGCCATTGCCCAGGCCCCAAGATGATAAGTGATGACCATCCCAGCCTCCCTGCATTCCCTTCTCACCACCTCTCTCTCCCATAACAAACAGCCCCAAGAGCCATCATAGAAGACAGCTGGAATCAGCTGAGGGGTCCATTGAGGTGAGAACTCCCTTTAGAGAAAGCAGAGAGGGAGAAAAGGTTTCAGGCTCACCTGATTCCCAAGGGGAAGAAGGCAATAGAATGGGCATGAGAGAGCAAAGAGCTGGGCTGGCTTTCACCATGGACTTTACTGACTCAGGCTGCCGGAGGTATCCCTTCTAGAGGTGATCATTTTCTGACAAATTCATCTTGAATGCAAAACATCTCATGTAATGCTGTGAGCTGTGGTTTGGCTTCTTAAATGGTTGTGTTTTCGCTTCCTGCTTTATTTCTGGCACATTCCTCAATGAAGGCATCTTTTGCATGACAAGATGAGAGGCCCAAGCATTTCTGCATCAAAACACATCAGCGTCAGCACAGGACTCAAGCCACATGCTACGGGAATACATTAAAAGTAAATTATGTCAGTCTGGGTCACTCTATTGGGATCTTAGGGGCCTTTGTCTCAAAGAAGTGGCCTTGTTCCTGGCTTTGACTGTATCCCTCCAAACACAGAGCCCAGGACAATTCAGGTGGCTGGCTTTGCCTTCTCCTGTCATGCACAAGGGATACAGAAAAGGGGAGAAAACTCTTGGTTACCTTCAGTTGAGCATGGTGACTGGATACTGGAGCAAAACAAGTGCCACTTCTGTTTTCAAGAAGAAGAGGAGAACCCAGGGAGCCACAGCATTTTCAGTCTCACCTTAGCCCCTTAGAAGGTGATAGAGCAACTAGTCCTGGAAAGCTCTCCTAATGAAGGCATGTCAGTGATGAGAAAGTCACCAGGAGCAGGTCAGTGGGGCTTCACCAAGGGGAAGTTATGCCTGACCTTCTTGATAAAGTGCTGTGGTGATGTGACAGGCTCAGGAGAGGAAGAAAGAATGGTGGATCTTCTCTACTTGGGCGTAAGCAAAGCATTTGGCACTTTTGTGTGGATTCCTGTAGGAGCCTTACAGAGAAACTGTTGATGTTGTATGAGCAGACAGCAAGGTAGAATGAAAACTGACTGGCCAGGCACAGGGATCAATGATGAGCAGTACAAAATAAAGTTGGAGACTAGTGACTGGTGGTGCATCCAAATGGTCAGGACTTGATGGGTTCTGTTTACCAATTCACTGATGATGTGGCTGACTGGACAGAGTGGACCCTCAGCAGGTTTGCACACAACACTGAACTGGGAAGAGAGGCTTATGCATCAGAGAGTCAGGCCAGCATCCAGAGGGACCTCAGCAAGCAGGAGAAATGGGCTGATGGGAAACTCATGCAACTGAACAAGGTAAACTGCAAATTCCCTTGTGTCAAAGAAGTCCAACAGTAACCCCAGCTCCATTAGACCAGGTGTTGTCAGGAGGTCAAGAGAGGTGACTGTTCCCCTTTATGCAGCACTGACGGGGGATACAGCTGCAGTGGCCTCCTCTACTGCCCTTCCTCTGTGACCATATTGGTGACGGAAGGGATCAGTAAGAGCGTGATAAAGTGAGTGGAAAATTGTCTGGCCTACCAGGCCTAAAGAGTTGTAGCCATTGCTTCAAATAGCAGCTGGCAGACAACTCTGGGGTCTCTCAGGGATCAGCAGTAGGACCACTAGTGTTGCACATTACCATGAATGTCATGAATAGTGGGAAGTAGGACACTCTCCTCAAGTTTGGAGGTGACACCGAACAACCAAGAAAAGGCAGTGAACTGGCCTCTGTTGCTCAAGTTGTTCCCAGAAAATCCTGGAGCCACCTGTACAAAGGAAACAGGGAATACAGACTAGACTCTGGAAGTTCTCTGCAACATGAGACTAGGCTACGAACAGCTGCTGGAACATGGGGCTTTCAGCCTCCTGATTGCCATCTGCAGAAAATCCCTGGCTGCTGTTTCCAGTCCCTGAGCACAGAGGCAGCTCGGGGAAGCTGCTCCATCTTCTGGTTCAGGGCCTTGTTGCTGCCTCTCAGGCTGCAGCTGGCGCTGTGCCGGCTAATTCTCGCTGGGATGTCTTTGCTGGAGGAGGGGAAGAGTCCCATTTGCCAGGACAACAAGCTGTGCCTGTGCAGAGCCCGAGTGCTCCGAGCCCAGGCGAGAGTCTGAGCGGCGCCAGCGCAGGACTCAACCCCGGGGCGGAGCTGGGGGCGATGGAGAGAGAGGAGAGGGGAGAAAAGGAGCCGGCACAGTCAGAGCATAGAGCCAGGGCTGAGGGGCACAGCGAGGCTCGGCCGGCGGAGCGGCGGCATGCGGCGGTGTCGGGGCGCGGGGCTGGCGGCGCTGGCCGCACTGCTGCTGCTCGGTGCGCAGAGTGGGGCTGGGGTGACCCCGCAGGTCCCTAAAAATTACCTCCCCCTTTGGCTTCTTCACGGACCTCCGCCCCATAACCATCCTCGAGTCCATCGCTTACTTTGCATCATTTCTTATTCACTCAGAAAACCCATCACCCTCTTCTTTCTCCAACGATTAATATACCTTCCTTTCCTCTGTGTCTTTTTGCATATTTTATGTACTTAGTATAGATGGACATATCCGTTCCTGCACATGTTGACATCCTCTGCAAAGTATTCTACTCATCATCTTTGTATGTTCCTGCCTGCTTCTGCAGGATCTGGTTCAGTGGAGGGCTGGAGAGAATGTAGGTATTGAGGTTTGCAATTTCTTTTCTCCCCCTCAGTGGATGCAATCAGAGCCCAGATACAGCAAGAGCCGTCACTGGAGACCACCGAGGGCACCGGCATCAACATCACCTGCTCACATCCCAAAATCCAGACCAACAATTACATCCACTGGTACCGACAGCTCCCGGGCAGGGAACCCGAATTCCTCGCAAGCATTCTCAAAGACTCCAAAAAGCTGCCGGCCATTGCAGGAGAGCTGCGGGTGTCGGCAGATCGGCGCTGGAGCGCGCTGCGGCTCGGCTGGCCCCGGCGCGGGGACGCGGCCGTGTATTACTGCGCGCTGGGCCACGGGCAGAGGAGCCGGGGCTGCGGCCGGGCACTCCTCTGCTCGGCCCGGGATTCCGGGGCGCTGCCGCCGCCGGTACCGGCAATGGCTCCGAGGCCCGTAATGGCACTGGCACCGGCACCGACATCAGCACCGGCACCGACTCCAGCATTGACACCAGCACTGACAATGACAACGGCAGCTCCAGCTTGCAGTCACCGACATTCTGTCACGGTCCGCTTATAGCGCGGTGTCGTGATGGTTCTTTAGCCGATCCCAAAGTGCAAAAGACAAACAGCAGGGGACTATCAGTTTAATGACAACAAATGCACATTTATTAGGGGCCAAGATAATAAATGCGATAGTGGAGTCAGAAAATAAATAAAAATAAGAGAGAGAGAGAGAGAGAGAGAGAGAGAGAGAGAGAAAGGGGCATAGGAATAACCACCAACACAGGTGAGATGAGATCCTCACTGATCCGGACAATGGGGATCTGACTTGTTGTGTTTGGGGGAGTCTCCAAAGTCCTACCCAACCCAGGGGCCCGGTTATAGTCCACAGAGGGGAAAAGGGGGGAACATGCAGAACAATGAGAATCTATTGAAATTGCTGTGGGGTGGACAGCTGCATCTACTGAAAACTATCCAGGCAAGATGAACACAATGAAGAATAAGTCCATTGAAGTTACTGGAGAAGAACAGGTCATGTCATTCTCCCCCTCACTCCCTGTGGGAGGGGTCTCAGTCTCAGTCCTTGGGGAGAGGGTTCTTGATCTTTGTCTGTCACGGTGGTAATGAGGCAGATGAGGGGTGTTCAGTGAAAGACCACCAGACTCACCCCAAGAGTTCATTTGGCTTAAAGGTGGAGACTGAAGCAGGAATTGTAGCAGGATGCCCGTGCTGGTTCCTGCTGGGTCGTCACCAAGTCCTTTCCAAGTTCTTGCCATGCCTGGTTCGGAACAGCTGGCATTAGGGTGCAGTGGCTGCACCGGCACTGTTGCCTTCTCCAAGCCATAACTGCAGTGGGGGGGTTTCTCCTTGTCATGGCAATCAGCAGACAAATGAGTGAGGGTCTTCAGATGGTCTCTTAAAACAGGCCGAAGTTCACCCTCTGGAAGTCCTGAGTAGAGATTGTATTGATTTCCCTTCCTTTACAGAATATTGAAAACCCTGTCATTTCATAGTTGTTGTGCCCAACACAACCTCCAGCCACCACATCTCCCAGGGGCCATCTGAGAGTCTGTCCTCCTTGGCAGTGCAGAGGTTCCCACACGGTGCCTGTCTACCTGCCCCAGACAGGGAGACGAGACTGATGGGCCCCACCAGGCTGCCCTTGCTGGCAC